CCTAGCTGCTTCTTGCTCTGACTGAGGGCTGCTGGGAGCAGGGGGTGGGGCTTGTTGCATGTGCCCGCCCCCTGGGCTCTTTACTGCTGGAGCTCCGCTCCTGTGCGCTCCTGCCGGAAATGACCCCTGCTCACATGCAATAAAGAAACCAACCGGCAAGGATCTTCAAACGGCCGCGAAATAAACACTTCTTCTGCTGTGTCTCCTGAGTGTGACATTCCCTCCCACCCCCCTTCCCCCATAATTAAATAGCAGGACCTCCTGCGGGGTGGGGGTGGGGAAAGCAAGGCCCACCCCTGCAGAGAGAAATGTCAGCAGACACCTGGGGGGCTCCTCCTCCGGGAAGGCCCTGAGTCGCCCGTGGTCTCTCTCGTGTCTCATCGTGGGCCTGCACACCCAGAGCCGGTGGCTGTTTCGCTGTTGCAGCCACCTGACAAAGAGGTGAGGCTCTGATGAGGAGCACTTGCGTGGTGTACCCCTTGGAGGGTCATGGTGAGAGACATCCCTGCTCAGGGACTTGGGAATGTTTCGTTTGGAGAAGAGGAGATCGAGGGGGGACAGGATTGCTCTCTTTAAACATTTGAAAGGCTGTCCTTTGGAGGAGGGCAAGGAGCTGTTCCAGTTGGCAGCAGAGGAGAGGACCCGGAGCAACGGCTTTAAATTGCATGCAGAAAGGCATCGGCTGGATATTAGGAAACACTTTTTCACGGTCAGAGTGGTCCAAAGGTGGAATCAGCTGCCCAGGGAGGTGGTGAGCTCCCCTTCACTGGCAACCTTCAAGATGAGGCTGGACGGATATTGGTCAGAGATGCTTTAGGCTGGTCCTGCATTGGGCAAGGGTCTGTTTGGCCCCTTCCAACTCTAGGATTCTAGGATTCATATGCTCTAGTAGGGAGAGCTTGGAGGAGCTGCTGAGCAAGGCTGCCCCCTCTTCCAAAATGCAGAGGGGGTGGGGGGAGAGGTGATAATACTTTGCACATTTATAGGCCCAAAGTGGCTCAGGAAAGCAAAAAGGGGGAAAGTGTGTTGCAGCCGCAGAATCAGACCTGACCTGGACGGCCCGGTTGGCCCGATCTCGTCAGAGCTCAGAAGCTACACGGGGCCAGCCGAGGTTAGCACTTGGGTGGGAGACCAGGAACGCAGTCCAGGGTTGCTATGCAAACCACCTCTGCTCTTCTCCTGCCTTGAGAACCCTACGGAGTCGCTGCAAGTTGGCTGCAACCCGATGGACCTTTCCACCCCACGGAAACACACTGAAACCCCAATAAACAGGGCCGTGGCCGTGGCTCCAAAGCAGAGTCCCTGCTGCATGAGGTAGACCTCCAGTCCACGACATCTCCAGTCCTCAGTGACCTTAAGGCCCTCAGCCGAGACCCCGGAGAGCCGCCGTCGGTCACAGTAGTCGAGACTGAACTTCACAGTCCGATGCTCCGACTCAGCAGAAGCATGCTCCACTTTATTTGTTTTATCATAAACCACTTTGAGCGGCAAGGATGAGGGGCCCAGAAATACAGCAACAGCTCCTCACGGCAGTGAATGCCTGGTGAGCAACGTTCCCTCTAAGCTGAGTTAGTGTGAGCTAGCTCACAGTTTTTTAGCCTCCAGCTCACACATTTTTGTCTTAGCTCAGGAAGGATGACTCCAAGGCAAACTGACTTATGCAGTAGCCAAATTGCTTGCTCACAACTGTAATGCCAGTAGCTCACAAAGTAGAATTTTTGGCTCACAAGACTTAGAGGGAACATTGCTGGTGAGCTGAGCTGTGCTTGAGATAAGGAGGCCTAGAGATGCATGCACAGGCGTCTAGAGACGTCCCTGGGGAACTCTACTTCGGCAAGGCCTCTGTTCACTCAGAGACACCACACCAGCCATGCGCGTATAAAATCAGTTGCTGGACTGCGAGTAACAGAGCGTTGTTCCTCAAGCTAGGCATCCCATACTCATTTCCCCAAAAATCCAGACTGCGGGTCCAGTCTTGCTTTTGGGGGCCGCCATGTTTCCCGTGGGGCCCTGCTGGTGCTTCCAACAATCATTACAGTGAGGAACGAGAGGAAGTCCCTACCCTTGGAGGTCACGGCCTGCATCACCTTTTTCTTTTCCAGGTGACACAGCCGTGTATAAGGAGGGCACCTACTGGATCAGAGGCCGGACCTCTGTTGACATCATCAAAACGGGCGGCTACAAAATCAGCGCCCTCGAAGTCGAGCGCCATCTGCTGGCCCACCCCAGCGTTGCTGGTAAGGCATAGCCCCCTCCCAATAATCTGCCACTTGGCGGAGTCTTCATTCGTTTATTTCAGTATGTTCCTATCTTGGTCTGCCTTGACACATGCTCAGAGCAGCTGAGGTGGGTACCTTGTTCAGGCCCTGTAGCATCAGGTGTTCTCCCACAAGGGTTGCCAACTCCGGGTTGGGGAATTCCTGGATATTTCTCCAGGGGAGCTGATCCCTGTAGACTGGGGAGCCGTTTGAATTCCGGGCAATCACCAGCCACCACCTGGGGTTTGGCAACTCTAATAACCACCCCTCAGCCCCAGCATCAGCCCGTCTCCATCTCCCAGAGACCAGCAGCCTGTCCTTCTGGCTCTGACTGCAGCGCCTGTTTCAAATCAGGGCATGAGGAGAACAGGAACCTGCATCTTGCGTGCTCAAACCCATGGTGACAGTGGCTGGGTGCGCATTCAGCATGCATTTTTGACTGTTTCCTGGCCCTGACTAGGACCACCAAGAGCCACCAGTGTGGTGTAGTGGATAAGAACATAAGAAAAGCCAATGCTGGTTCAGGCCAGTGGCCCATCCAGTCCAACACTCTGTCACACAGTGGCCAAAAACACCAGGTGCCATCGCCAGTGGCCCATCCAGTCCAACACTCTGTCACACAGTGGCCAAAAACACCAGGTGCCATCAGGAGGTCCACCAATGGGGCCAGGACACTAGAAGCCCTCCCACTGTTCCCCCCCCCCCAAGCACCAAGAACACAGAGCATCACTTGCCCCAGACCAAGAGTTCTTATCTATACCTTGTGGCTAATAGCTACTGATGGACCTTTGCTCCGTATGTTTATCCAATTCATAAGAACATAAGAGAAGCCAATGTTGGATCAGGCCAATGTCCCATCCAGTCCAACACTCTGCCTGTCACACAGTGGCCAAAAATACCAGGTGGACCTCTGCTCCATATGGATAGAGAGGTAGACTAGGGCCCTGGACAATGCAGGTTCGAATCCCGACTTCTGCTATGGAATCTGGCTAGGTAACCTTGGGCCTATTACAGACTCCCAGCCCGGCCTACCTCACAAGGGAAACAGAGGTGGTGAAAACAATGTTCTGAGCAGCGCTTTGAATCTGAACTGGGTGGAAGACTAGGATATAAATAAATATTTAAGTAAATAAATGCACGTGCCGCGGACCAACCACCACCACCACCCCTGGCAAAAGTGTCCTTTGGGCCGCTCAGACCCAACCCCAACATCATCTGAAAGCGAATGGCAGGAGTTGCTCACTTCTGTGGCCTCTCAGGGTAAACAGGGTCCCTGGAATCTCTTCTTCCCCCCACCCCCCAACCTGGTCTTATCTTGAGCTGCTTTCCCAAGGGCAGAACTGCACACCACTGCTACCCAATACAGCCGTTACCCATGCTCTTCTACCACATACTGATCTGACGTACCCCATGTCCTGATAATGTGCATTTCTGTACCTCATGCCACAGGGACAGAAAAACAGAGACTGTAGTGATGTCGGAACACAGGCCGAGGTTGTTGTCAGCATCACAGGTGGATTGTGGCTGCTGTGTTTGGCGGCAGAGCCCCCTGTCCGATGTGACGCATTGGCCAGGATTTGGATCGGGGACCCACACCCACACACATACCCCGCTCATATGAAGAGAAGCCTGATTTCATGAGTGCGGATCAATGCTCCCTCTAAGCTGTGAGGCTTGCGAGCAAAAATTCTACATTATGAGCTACGGGCATTAAAGCTGTGAGTGAGCAATTTGGCTCCTGCATCAATTAGTTTGTTCTGGAGCCCCATCCTTCCTGAGCGAAGACAAAAATGGGTGAGCCGGAGGCTAAAAAACTGTGAGCTAGCTCACACTAACTCAGCTTAGAGGGAACACTGGTGCTGATTGGCTGGCTGTGTGTCAATCTAAAAGCGACCTCCTCCCTTCTTGGGACTGGTTCATGCACAGTGTTGATTGGCTGGCTGTTGTGGCAGTCACGAAGCTGCTGTGCATGCGCCGCCCCTCATCCTTCCTGGATGATCGCAAGAGCAGGGACTCTGTGTCGGACTCCCTAATCAAAGTCGTGCTTGTCTGCTCTGATTCCCCCCCACACACACACTTGCAGCCCCCTTTCTTGGCTGGCCCCCGGACTGGGTGACTTTGGCCTGCCCCTTTTTCTCTGGGGTTCTTCTGCAGCCTTCCTTTTTTTTCACCTGCAATCTCCCCCTTCCAGATGTGGCTGTGATTGGTCCTCCGGACCCCACGTGGGGCCAGAGAGTCAGCGCCGTGGTGAAGCTCCAGGAGGGAAAAGCCTTGTCTCTCAAGGAACTGAAGGACTGGGCCAGGTAAGCGGGCAGCACCGGCTGAGCCTGGCTTCTTCTCTGGCTTGATGCCGTGGGGCACCGGAGGGCAGGCCAGCGAATGAAGAATCAGTAAGGAGCAAAGTCTTTAAGGAATGCGCCCCCCTGCCCAGAAAAGCACGGGGAGGGGTCTGCAGGCCGTCCTGTCCTTCGCCTTCATCAGAGCTCCTGCTGCTCACCTGTCTGACGTCCTGGAGGGAGGGAGGGAAGGAAGGAAACGACCCCCGTTTGCCTTTGTATCACTGCAAGTCTCTGCTTGCTCCCTTTCCGCAAGGACTGGAGGGCAGTTTGCATTCCCCGGAGAGCAGGAATCCAGCCGGGACTTCATACATCTCAAAGCCACCCTGGTTGTCCCTGGTCCTTGAGCCGAACGCTGCCTCCCGGGCCCTCTCCCCCTCCGCTGGCATCCATCTCTGCTACTCACCCTGTCTCTCCTCTTTATCCTCAACGTCAACACTTGTCTTTGTCTCCTCTCGCCTCTTTCCTCCTGCCCCCGCTCTGGCAGGAGACACATGTCCCCCTTCAGAGTGATTCACTCCGTCGTGGCGTTCGTCTCCCAGTCAGTCCTGAGTGAGGCAGGACGCGCGGACAGCTTGAACGCCGGGGTGGGGGCCGCGAGAGGAGAGCAGCTCTCCCTCCCCGAGGGGGGTGGCACGTCACGTCCGATAGGGTGCCAGGGAAGCTGCCTGTCAGAGCTGGGCACGGCCCTCGGTTAGTCGTGTGCCAGGAGCGGAGGCTCGCACACATGCTTCGCAAAGGGCAAGGTGACTTTGCTCTGTGCCAGGGCTCCTGGGGAGGCTTCGAGTGAGCCTCCGCTTGCCTGGCACCCCTCCTGTTGAGGCACGAGGCACACTTGTGAGTGCAGCTTGGGGAGGGGGGGGTCTGCCTGCCTGCCTGCCTGGAACTCTTCCCGAGAAGCAGGAGTTGGCCAGGCTCCTCCGCGCTTATGTGGCCTATTTGTCATTTGCTCTCCCTGCCATATCTAATTGCAAGGATTGATGAGTACCCATTAAAAGTGATCTATCCTGTTTCTTAGAGGTGCTCCGTCTCGCCACTCTCAGGTACACGCACCGTTTGTGGCACACTGTTATGTGCAGGGCTGGGTGGAAGGGCTTGGGTGCAAAAGAACCTTCCAAGTCCTCTGTGACTCACCCTGCTTGGAAGTCAGGGGAGGAGCTATGGCTCAGTGGCAGAGCCCCTCCTTGGCACGCAGAAGGTCCCAGGTTCAGTCCCCGGCATCTCCAGTTAAAAAGGACTAGGCAGGAGGTGATGGGAAAGACCTCCGCCTGAGACCCTGGAGAGCTGTAAAGAGGGGCTGTGGCTCAGTGGCAGAGCCTCTGCTTGGCACGCAGAAGGTCCCAGGTTCAGTCCCCGGCATCTCCAGTTAAAAAGGACTAGGCAGGAGGTGATGGGAAAGACCTCCGCCTGAGACCCTGGAGAGCTGTAAAGAGGGGCTGTGGCTCAGTGGCAGAGCCTCTGCTTGGCACGCAGAAGGTCCCAGGTTCAGTCCCCGGCATCTCCAGTTAAAAAGGACTAGGCAGGAGGTGATGGGAAAGACCTCCGCCTGAGACCCTGGAGAGCTGTAAAGAGGGGCTGTGGCTCAGTGGCAGAGCCTCTGCTTGGCACGCAGAAGGTCCCAGGTTCAGTCCCCGGCATCTCCAGTTAAAAAGGACTAGGCAGGAGGTGATGGGAAAGACCTCTGCCTGAGACCCTGGAGAGCGGCAGGCTGCCAGTCCCAGTACTGACCTTGATGGCCCAAGAGTGTGATAAGGCAGCTTCACGTGCGTTCATGTGACAGCATGATATTGGGAAAGGCTTAGCTGATTTGGGGACAGCCTTGTGTGAGGAGCAGGGGCCCTCATTTGGCTTCTGGATTCAGGCCTCTGTTCAGGCACTTCGCGGCTGCTGCGGCTGCTTCCAGATTCCTTACTCTGGGAAAGAGCGCTGTCCGCGAGAGAGGGAGGGGCTTCAGGAAGGACCAAACCAGGGTTCTGCCCCAGAGTGGGAGGAACGGAGAGGTGTTGAGGAGACACTCAGCCGCAGCCGTGCACGTGTTAATCGGGAAGTTTTTTTCCCCAGGGAGTCCATGGCACCCTACACCATTCCCTCCGAACTGCTCCTGGTGGAGGAGATCCCGCGGAACCAGATGGGCAAAGTGGACAAGAAACAGCTCCTCAGGCAATTCTACTCCCCCTAGCGATGGTGGCACCCGGTGGGAGTCCACCTGCACGGCTAGGCTTCCCGGAAGCCGCCTTGCGCTCTGTAGAGGACCGCAGGCGATGTGCGAAGGGGCTTTGCGTGGGTACACTGGGTTGCCCTCCTTTGCAGGATCCAGACCATGTGCCAGTGTGACGGCACACCCATGGCTCATCGGACACGAGGATGGACACTGGCCGGGACTGGTCTTCCTAGCGGCAAATCAAATAAACTCTGGTCTTCTTCTTCTTCTTCTCCTTTTTCACTGCCAGTATGTTTTTACTGTTGTGATGTCTGGGCTCAGCAGCAGCAGCAGTGTGAGTCTGAGCTTAAATGTTGATGGATTCTGGCTCTGCTCATCGGCCCACAGAAGGAGTCACCCACGTCCAACTGAAAAGAAGTCCCCTCTCCACACAGGAGCACCCCTCGCCTCCCGGAGGCCTCTGAGCACATTGGCACCAGTTGAACACAGAGCTCTTCGTTTTCTTAGGGGCAGTAGCTACTATTTTTATCCCAAATCCACCCTCTAGTTCAGGGGTCCTCCATACACTGCACCTGGGCATCACAGTGCCCACTAACACTTTTCCTGGCGCCCGCCAAGTGTTTCTACAAAATGGGTGGGGCGAGGCGGGGCTTTTGCCCAGCAGGGCTTCTGATTGGCCACTGGAGATCGGATTGGCTCATGTGCAGATTTTTAAAATGCATTGCTTTTGGCAGCAGCTGCCACCACAGCACAAAGATCTTCACTGCGTGGCTGAAGGTAAGCTGTGGCAGCCATTTTGTGGCTGGCTCCACCTCCCGTGGCAGCCATTTTGTGGCAGCCATTTTGTGGCTGGCTTTGTCTCCCGTGGCAGCCATTTTGCGGCTACACCCACCACACCGTGTCGGAAGTTCAAAGGTGCCTGCAGGCTCAAAAAGGTTGGGGGGCCCTGCTCTTGTGCTTGCGGTGCAGTGGTGGGTTGACCAAAAGACAGGGATAGGAGCTCCAGTATCCCTTTCCCTCCAGCTGGGCCTGCCCTCCTTGTAGAACAGAGGGGCCGCGGGTGGACGATATAGGCACCTTTTAAACCTGGGGCATCAAACATGCAGCCCGGAGGCCGGATCAGGCCCCCGGAGGGCTTCCATCAGGCCCGAAGCGGAACTGGCCGTCTTCTGCTTCCTCCAGTTCTGCTGCTGCTGCGTCACCGTAGGTCTGCAACTTACAGATACACACCTGAACAGCAACCCCAAGACTGCAACAGCACAGACATTTTGATGCAATAATTCAGAGCAAGAGGCGTCAGTCATCAGACACGGTTAAATAAACGAAATATTGCAAGACTGCTGATGTTCTAAGCATGTTTTTATTTTAAGTAAAAAAAAACACCTTTGCGTTTGTGTCCGTTATAAAGTTTATATTTCCGCCACCTGGCATTACATTTTATGACACACATGGCCCTGCCCAACAAGGTCTCATTTAGGTCAGATCCGACCCTCATAACAAATGAGTTCGACACCCCTGTTTTAAACTATAGCAGAATCCTCATTTTCGAACAACCAGAGCCGGGCTCCTACGACACCGCTGGAAAAGGAGAGTGATTCAGATTAGGGGCCGAGGACACTGAAACAAGACAAGAGGCCAGGGAACTGCCAGTGTTCCCTCTAAGCTGAGTTAGTGTGAGCTAGCTCACAGTCTTTTAGCCTCCGGCTCACACACTTTTGTCTTCGCTCCGGAAGGAGGGCTCCAGAGCAAACCAAGTTATGCATTAGCCAAATCACTCGCTCACAACTTTAATGCCAGTGGCTCCCAAGACGCCACAGCTTAGAGGGAGAATTGCGGGTAACTCGTATACTTTCACACCTGAATACCCAGTGACCTCTGGCTGACAAAGCTGCACCCTGAACCCTTCACACTGGTGAGTTCAGTTCTCTCTGAAAAGGTGTAGCATCTGTCATTTTTTTTAAAAAAAAGGGCATCCCCAAAATGAAATTTCTGTTTTTTGGCTACTCGCAGAAGCTTCTTAAGAACATAAGAGAACATAAGAGATGCCAATGTTGGATCAGAAAAAAAAAAAAAGACATCCCCAAAATGAAATTTCTGTTTTTTGCCTACTCGCAGAAGCTTCTTGATTCCTTTCTTTTGCTGCCATTCTCTTTTAAATCATCTCGACGATGTGTGCTGACACGTTCCTCTGGGCCGCCATGCGAAACTAATAAACGTACCCATGTACAAAGGTGCTTGCCCCGCTGAAGTAGGATTCCGAGGGTTGGGGAGGGGGGCCAGAGGTAGGAATGTGGCTGCTCTGAATCAGGTATGTTTGTGCTGCAGAAAAGGTTCTGGTGGGGCCGTTCCATTCGGTGCTCCCTTCCTGACTTTGCCGTCCCCTCAGTCCATACGTGGCTGCGTCCCAGAGATTTCTTCCCGCGTGTCACAGCAATGATTGCCCACTCTTAGCACGGGTCCTCCTGCCGGGGGTTGTTCTGCTTCTCGCTCACATTCCCGGCTATTCCGTCTCTTGGGGGGGGGAACGTATTACCCCTCCCTCTGAGCTTATTTTTAACGGTGCCATAAAAGAGTCCTTCATTAGGGGAGTGTAATCTCCGTGCCTGGGAACAACTAATAACCCACCGTAAATTGCGATCTGTCCTTTGCAGGCTGCATCACCGCACACCTCCTTCTGTTTGGCTGGTGTGTGTGTGTGTGTTACACGGGGGGGGGGGGGGGGAGTGAGCAGAGGAGGGAATAATTAGGGAGTGCAAATAAATGCCAGCCTCTCTTAAGAAGCTGGGCACACCTCTGCCTCCTTCTCCAGCAAGCTTCCTACCGTGGGAAGTCAAGGAAGGGGCCCCTTCCGTCCCAAGACCCTCCTGCAGACCCCAGGGGGTTACGCCTAGGTGGGCTGGGGCCTGTGCCTGATCTCCGGGTTGGGAAATACCTGGAGATGTGGGGGGGGGGTGGGGGGGTGGAGCCTGAGGAGGATGGGATTTATTTATTTATTCTATTTGTTTGCTTTCAATTTGTATCCCGCCTTACCGGTATGAACTGGCTCAAGGTGGCGTACACAGTTAAAATACAATAAAACCAGTCAATACACTAAAATTACAATAAGAACAATCACATAAAGTTTATTTATTTATTTATCAAATTTATACCCCCCCCTCCCCCGTAGGGCTCAGGGCGGCTTACAAAAGCAAGATAAATGCTGCTGTAAACAGATGGCGGGAATTTCTGTACGTGGTCCAATGGGAAAAGACCTGTAGAAGGTCCCGCAGGGCCCTGATGTCCTCCAGGAGCTCATTCCACCAGCGTGGAGCCACCACTGAGAAGGCCGTGGCCCTCGTAATGGCCAATCTGGCATCTTTCGAGCCAGGGAGGGTCAGGCAGTTTTTTGACCCTGACCTCAGTGCTCTCTGGGGCACATGTGGGGAAAGGCAGTCCCTCAGGTAGGCAGGCCCCTGACCATATAGGGCTTTAAAGGTCAAAACCAGCACCTTGAAACGAATCCGGTATGCTATAGGCAGCCAGTGCAATGCCTTCACCACAGGCCAGATGTGATCTCTTATGGAGAGACCAATCAACAGCCTGGCTGCCATATTTTGCACCAGCTGCAGCTTCCGGAGTTGGGACAAGGGAAGCCCCATGTAGAGAGCATTGCAGTAGTCTAACCTCGAGATGACCATAGCATGGATCACTGTTGCCAAGTCCAGATCCGCCCCCAAAGTCTCCAGGTATTTTCCAACCTACATCTGGCAACTCTACATCTGCACCAGTTGAATAGTGACCTAACAGTCCTTGAAAGAACAAGACCAATTTCACACAAGAGCTGCGCCGCGTTCGCGCCTCCATTTGCCCCGCTTCTATTGGTCAATTTCCCACTCAAAGCCGCGCGGCTGCATTTTGACCCGCGGCTTCGCCCGATTTTCCCTGCGGTTTCGTGTTCCTCAAAAAACAGGATCACGAAACCCCGGGGAAAATCGGGCGAAGCCGCGGGTCAAAATGCGGCCATGCGGCTCCGAGTGGAAAATTAACCAACAGAAGCGGGGCAAAGGTAGGCGCGACTGCAGTGCAGCTCTTGTGTGAAATTGGTCCAAGTCTCTCTTCAGAATGATGTGGTCACCGGCTCCTGGTGCAGAGAAGAGTTTCCAGAAGAAAACACGCAGTAGACGGCACGGGCTCAAGACTAGCTGTAGCACAAATCAAAGGAGCAGCCACGGCACGCCCAGGTTGCTTTGCTGTTTCATAGGGCTTCATCAGGCAGCTTTTCTTAGTGATACGGAGCTCAGCCCAGCTCTGGCAAGATTCAAAATGACACGAAGTCTACCAGTATGTTCCAAATAGCTCGGAATCAGATGCCGTTTATGCAGAGTGGCAAAACCATTTGTTGTGTGTACCATTTGTGGTTGTAAGTAGAACTGTATAAGAAGACAGTCGTCTCAAGTGTGATTTGTACAGCGTGACAGATCACTCTGGCTATTTGTTTGTACAACTGTATTCGCTGTATTCCCATTTTTGTGTGGTTGTTAACTACCTAGAGGTCTGCAACCCTTCCGATCTGTGGGCCAGGCCCATCTGGGAGACTGCAGGTCTGTTGCTTCCCGGCCAGGCCTGATTCACAACCACTACTGAATCGAAAGAACACCTCGTCCTGGCTGATTTGGCCCATCTTTGTCCACAGGTTCACGGGTCTGAAGAACTCCCACCTGGATCTGAGTGCGAGTGCATTCTGAACTCAGAACTTAACCCATTCTTACTCTCCAACCTCCCCCCCCCATTGCCGCTTCTCTTGTTGGCCCTTCCAGAATAAGGTCTGGCCAACAATGAGATGGTTAGACAGTGTCATAGACAATGTTCCCTCTAAGCTGTGGAGTCTTGTGAGCAAAAATTCTACTTTGTGAGCTACTGGCCTTAAAGGTGTGAGCGAGCGATTTGGCTCCTGCATAAATTAGCTTGCTCTGGAGCCCTCCTTCCTGAGCTCAGACAAAAACGTGTGAGCCGGAGGCTACAAAACTGTGAGCTGGCTCACACTAACTCACCTTAGAAGGAACACTGGTCATAGATGCAACGAACATGAAGTTGAGCAAACTTCAGAGGACAATCTGGTCCATGGGGTCGCGAAGAGTCGGACTAGACTGTGCGACTGAACAACAACAACAACAACACTGTCCCTCCCTTTCACT